AAATCTTCAGTGAGGCCTACCAGCACTAGTATGTGCCCATGACTTATTTTTAGTTGTACTGTGCCAATATATTGCTTTAGATTTATCAGCTTTTACGGGCAGGGATCTGGTTTGGTTTGGTTTTGTCAGTTTAACAATGTTGCCAACTTATGATATTTGGGATTGGGAGAGGGGGAAAGTGTCAATTTGTGATATTTGGCGGTGGATGATGAGATGGAAAGGTTAGGGTTAGCTAACCCCAGCTCCTGAAACCATATGATTGCATAAGAATCTCAACTAGTATTAGTATCTAACTTTCATGGTTGCAGATAAAAACTTGACAATATGAACCCTTGGCCTCAGACATCAGAAGATAAGTGAAAAGACTCCAAATTTATTAATTTTTAAAATTTCATGAATTTTAAACTAACCTCATGCTTTTTGGGTGATATGACTTAATTTTTGAATGCTTGAGGTTTGCTATACTACTTTCTCTTTAGAATTTATTACATATTAAAAGTTCTGTGTGCAGTTCTTGTACTATAATAATAGATCTACCAACTAGTTAGAATTTTTTAAATTTACACATAAAATCCAAATATAACCTTAATTTAGCTATTGTCTAGAAACTGACAGCATCAATAATTGCAGTGTAAGGGGAGAATGCACTACCAGGTAAACTAGATACTGTTTCAGGAACTTGAGGTGCTTGCTTGTTCTCAAATGGTGAGCATTTCAACATTTAATCTGCTCTGATCTAATGTATTCAAAGGTTCAAAGAGTGAACAGCCTATATCCACACTGATAGTACTTCTGCAATATTTTGTTAATATGCAATGAAGTGTCAACCACATCTGTTAAACAAAAAAGGCACTTGACACCATGTGATGGGTTCCCTCCAAGGTGCCACCTGGAACTGGGGTACCTCTGACCCACCAGTCTGGCCTCCTGCTCATACTGTGCTGCTGTGACAAGTTGCAAAGCCCTCCACGCTTGCACTTCCACCAGCATTCACAGAGGTAGGGATACACCCAACTGCAGTCACATTCCGGCTCTCTAACCACCAGCCTCCCAGCCTTCTTCCCACTTGCTGGAAAGCTCTTTTGCTGTGACCTGGGTCAAACAGTTCCCATTGTGTAATGCTATCTCGGAGAGGTTTCTACTGTACACAGTTCCTGGGGTAATCCTTGTGCGTGTATGCATTTCCTCAATGAGCCATTAACATTGTTTGGCCTTTTTACTGTTGTACCTGAAAGGCTTCTCATGGGTGTTTTCAACCTCACAATATGTTTCACTAACACATACATAGCCAAACTTCATAACTTCACATATGAGGATAGCACATACACTCCAACAAGATGTTACTGTCTGGCAGATCAAGCCTTTTAGAACAATACCTTACAAGGCATACTTTGTACAAAACATAGCCTAATTACATGACAGGGTGTCACACAGCCGATTCAGATATACCACTTCCATTGTTAAAGTTAGGCTACAAAGAAAATCACAAAAGATCTACCTCATCAATATGTACTCAAAGTACCTCTCAGCCATTCACTACATCACCACCAAATAACTATTTTTTTCTTTTAAGTCCCTGAAGTTGTGTTCATTAGCTCCTCTCTACAGTTGCACATTAGCATGCACCAGCTTGTTGTCACAGCTGACACAAAGTGTGTCTGGAGTCTGTTCATAAAAATTCAGGTATGTATATTTTTTTAAAATCTGAAAAACATGAATTATTCAGCCCCTATGGAACCAGTTCCAGTCTCGTTTGGAGTTATTTAGCAATAATACTAAGTATACAGCAGTTTTCATCTGTAGATCTCAAATTAATTTACAAAGCAAGTTATTCTCCTTTTACAGTTGGGGAAACTGAGATAATCTGACTTGTCCAACATCACACAGCAGTGACAGAGTGAGGAATAGAACCCAAGTCTCATGATGACCAGGCTGGTGGTCTATTCATTGGACTACACTACTATGATTTCTTACCATCAAGGAGAAATAGGAGTCAATAGAATAAAGCTTAGGGGGGCCTGACATACTTAAAAAGTTATTTGTTAAGTATCATTGTGTTGAATGCCCTTTTAACCTGCCATGTTTTGCTGAAGTAGATGGAATTCTCATATTTTATTGAAGTTTACCATTCAACAAGAAAATGATCTTAGGATGTAGCCATATGCCTGTGGAAAACGTGAAAAGCACCACAGTCTCAGATGGGCTGAGAAAGTGCAACTGCTCTTTCAGCTCAAAACTGGAGACACACATCTCAGAAGTTGAACATTTACTACCTGATTTTCCTCACTTAAACCAGTGTAACTTCACTGACATCAATGGAATTATTCCTGATTTATATGTTTATAAAATAAATGAGATCAGAATCTATCTCCTGCCCTCATCTTAACATTTTAAAAAAGTGTTTCAGGAACAGAATCAATGGAAATCCAGGGCAAATGGAACCATCAGAATTATACAATAATCTACTTGACATATTCTAATATGGAAATTAGACACACACCCTTCCCCCCATTTAGAAGGGAATTTCTTGACATCAGAATAGACACTGCCCCTAAAAGAGACAAATCTGATTGGCTTTTGGGGATGTTTTACATCATGTATTCTCTGCATTAGACACTCTCACTAGCACTGTGTTGGAACATTTATTCACAATGTCTCTATCGCTTTCTCTCAACTACTGTCAGTCCTGCATTTTCACTCTCCTTGAATCCTAACTATCCAAACTTAAATTCTGTTCAAAATGCAAGCGCTTATCTCCTCTCCCACATCTGAAAGGAACATGTTTCCTCACTTCTCAGAAATTTTCCTGTGCCCTCCTCTTAGTGCCAAATTTTTATCCACATGTAAACACATACACAGGAGATGAAAGCTTGATAGTTTTGAATGGAGGAAATATACACTAATCGTTACATATAATGTCAAATGGATTTCAGTGGCATTGTGCTGTATGTAAGAGGAGAATTTTCAAGTTTTCTATATAATTGTTTCTGTTCCACCTCTTTGACTTCAGTTTTTACAATTTTACGGCCTATTCCCTATAGCCCTTGAATGCAAGACTCCTTCCCTTTCCCAGCTACTCCAGAGTGAGTAGATGATCCTTTTCCTGTTTTTGCCCCAATCACGTAGAACAGATTTCCTGCCTATTTGCAGCTAAATGATTCTTTGATTCTCTTCAAATCCCATCTCCCAAATGTCATCTGGTCTCCCAGGTCTGCTGAGTGATCTAAATACAAATACTGAGCCAGTTCAGCTAAAATCAGCATAAAAACTAATTTGATTAAACCAGTGCAAAAGTCATGTGTAGACACAATTGCATCAGACTATAGCTGGTTTAAAGTGGATTAGGTTGCATCAGTCAATCATAAATGTTTCATATCAGGCTCGTTATTTAAACTGAGAGGTTCAGAAAAAGGAAACAAAATCATATGAAATAACTTCACGAATGTGAGTACTGCATACCAATAATTTCAATGCCTGCCTGTGTCCCGCTACACCATAAAAGGGTCAGAGGCAGCCAGATGGCATATCCAATCTGTTGCTGCAAAAGTTCACAAACCCTGAGGAATCTTGATTTTTCTTTATTTCTTCTTGTCTCTTTCCTTTTCTTGGTTCCATAGTAAAAGCGTTCATATCATCATGTGCTATTGCTGTAATTAAAGCCACGGATGCATTTGTATAATGCAGTCTTGACAAAATGGCACCCTCAAATCTAGCAAAAACTATGGATTTGGAAGCATGATCAGTCTGAGTGCCTACATGCATCCCCAAAATATGCTTTTTACCAATAATTGCTCTGAGTTAGTGTGAGCCACCAAGACAAATTCAGAGCAGATATAATTTGGTGCAGATCCATTGATCTTAATTGGTAACTACAGTATATGTTGCTATTGGTCAAAAATGTATCCAGCTAAAGATAAATTAATGTTTTATTTACATGTCTCTATTGGTACAGTCTCTTTGGCATAGTAGAGACATCTGAGCTGATACCTTTAAGCCATGCCACAACCAGATTGTTGCAACCAGACCCTACATTTCTTTGTCATAGCATGATGAAGAGTGGTCCCTCTTGTCACAAAGATTCCTCAGGGTTTGTGAACTTTTGAAGCAACAGATTGGATATGCCATCTGGCTCTGACCCTTTTACACAGGCAGACATTGAACTAGACCAGGTTATGGAGACTTGGCAAACTGGTACTTTTCTTTCAAGTCTGCCATCTTGTGTTCCAGAAACTAAGCTATGATGTTGGCTTTTTTTTTACAAAATGTAAGTCTCCTTACAAAGACGACCTGATTACAAAGAAAAGGTACAAATTGTGAATTGAGGATAAACCGATATTGTAGTGTCTGCCTGAGTCTGTAGACAGCATGAATCAATAGCTCTGAGAAGGGAAAAATCCTTTAATTCATCTCATGTGTGTGTTGATTCTGAAGCTTAATGATAATTTTAATGTAAATATTATTAACTATTTCACTGTTGAACAAAATATTTAAAAAAGAAAAAAGATGACAATCAGATGGTGTCACTCCATGCAGAGCACCCAAGAAAAAAGAAGGAAAATGCTATTAAGAAGATCTGCACAGTTTATTATGAGTGATGTCTAACCTTGACAGATTAAGTGGGGAGGGCTCAGTTTATGGATGGAGCTTGAGAGAATACTACTACTTTGTCCCAGATTTGACCCTGGATATAGGACACATGCCACTAGCCACCTGAGAGTGTATTGTCTTCTGGCCAACTGAATGCATCTATGATATTGGGAATGGGACACTGAGAATTCTAGTGGTTCCCTTTGTACCAGTGCAGAGTAGGCACTGGAAATGGGGTGAGCAGCAGCAGCAGAAATCAGAGTGGAATCTGTGTAGGTGGGACCATCAGGAACCAAGATCCTTCCCTCTTCCTGCAGGAATTGCTTTAGCTGCTCTGTGTCTTTAAGAGGCAGACACTATCCTGCAAATGAGTCATTATAAAGGCAGGTAAGCTGCAGCAATTGGATCAAAGAGCTGAGAGCAAAGCAGAGCACAGCAGCCTGCATAATGACCGGACACCACTGCTGGGGATATGGACAGGATGATGGTATGTTACATCCATCCTTTCCTAACCTAATCACTCTCTCTTTCTCTCTCTCCCACTCATCAGCTCCTCAATATCCTTGTCTAATCTTTGCAGAGATGCCTGCATTTCATCATCTGCAGGCATCAATTGTGCAGCAGGCAGTTAACTAATTTATCAATATTAAACAAAACTCAAAGAAGGGCTCCTGGAGATGACAAACTTCACCTGCTGTTGTCCTGTCATAATCAGCAGCACTGCCATAATCTGTATGTAAGAAACCTGCATCTTTCTTAAATGGGGATGGAGGACATTGAGAGTCTTCCCTGCAGATATTTTAGCCATCTCCTCCCCAAATGATGATAGTAAACTGTGGTTTTATTTCTCCCTCTAAAACAATCATTTGAATGAAGGAGGTTTAGTGGAGTGGTATGGACAGTCTGATCCCACTAAAATGACTAAAATGTGATATTCATGCTATACAGGTTCCTTGAATTCCAAGAAATTATATAGATCAGTATTTAAACATTGGAGGCATTTTTTATTACACAAGCGATACTGTTCTTTCTGGTGTTTAACAGCCCCTTTAATTTAGAGTTATTCTCTTTCTGCACCTCCCGCTCCTCAAAAAAGTATGTGTAAAGAAAACTTATGTGGAGACTTATGCAGACTCCTGAAAATTTTTACACTATCTATATCATTTGAAGAGAATGGATGGATGAATGACTGATGTTACTGCAGTAAAACAAGTTTATACATGATTGAATGAAAGCTAGAACACCGAGTGAAAGATGCATAGCTCCAGCAGATATTATTTGTAAGTGTGTGTGCAATTGTATGTATCTATTTTATTGATAACAAGCTGATGAGGAAGCTCAGTTATACTGAATAGGCTTCAATAGAATTTCAATACCAGATCTCTTTTAAAAACAGCCCCCAGATTGAGAAAAGGAAAATATATAGTTTATAAGCTAGTGCTTCAATGCCTCCCAAAGACCGACATAGTATGTTACATTAATTTTCTTTTTTTAACTGACATAGGTTGGGGCAAGTGCGGTAGTTTATACCTGTGACTGATTAACATTTTTTCCATTCTTCAACAAAAATGAGAATGCTACAATTAAAGTGCTTTGGGTTATTTTTAATGTATTAAAAAGTCAACATGATAACTTTCCCAAAACAGGGACTAGAAGAATTACATTGCTGTGTGTTGTAATAAAATACACAAGTGAAACAAAAGTAAAAGGTATCAATAAATCATTGTTTGATGTAGATATGATCTTGTTATCTTAAACAGCAGGAGAGCACTCCATCTCCTAGAGCAGAAAGCTGTGTGATTATACTGGTATTTAATCCCACTCCTTTGGGGTCAGGAAGTCCAAAGGTGTTGATAATCATCCTCTACTGCTCACTTGCGGTAGAGAAATAGTATAGTGGGCATTATGGAATAACGATGCCTATCTCTCAAAGATTTACTGCAGTCATAAAATGGGTTTAAAAATAAGCATATAGTAGCTGAGACATTCTGAGTCATCAGCATCTAATTTGAATCTCAAGCATTTACCACTGTCCTACCCAGTAAAGCTAAAATACACAGTGTATGTGTTTACAATATCAACACAGAGAGAGAGATTCCTCAACCAAGTCTATTCTGGAATAATCTATTTGTAATTGCATTTAATTTCTACAGGAAGCTGGGGGTAAGCAGAAAGGTCTGGGTGTGCCTGTGGCTGTATTATGTTCCCATCATTATGCTATTCATAAAAGAGCTAAATCGCCCACCAGGATGCAGGCTGCACTGCTAGGATCTGTAAACACACACAAGACAATGCACAGTTTTTCAGATAACTCCTATGATGACAAACTTATGTGATTTCCAATGAACATGGCATTCAATCCGAAGCTCGTAAAAACCTCTAATGATTCTTTTCTATCTGTGGCAAAAGTGAAGTAACAGTGTCTTCCTTTCCTTTGTTTCAAAGGGCCTTCTGAGTGGTACAAATCATATCCCATTGCCCATGGGCATCGTCAGTCACCTGTTGATATAGTCTCCACGCAAGCAGTTTATGATCCTAGTCTGAAGCCTCTTATTATCTCATATGAATCGTGTACATCTCTTGATATCTCCAACAATGGCCACTCAGTCACGGTGGACTTTGAAGATGCTGATGACAAGACAGGTGAGCCTGATACTGACTTAGAATTAAGATCTCGTAGCTTATATTTCTTCACCTTCTTAGCTAGAGAGATGATAAAATACATTATTTGAAGTATAATTAAAGGCTTTAGTGTACAATTTTGCAGCTATTTAAATCTTCTGATATGAGATTAGTGGCATTACTTGGCTGAGGTATGTGATTAGAGCCACTTTTGTTTTACCATTTTCTTGGGCCTGCCTTTTTTTTTTTTTAATATCACAATCTGGCAGAGGCTTAAAAAGTGGAGAGACTGGGCGCTCAGTCTCTGTGCGAAGTGTCACTTAGCAGAGCCACATCGCTACATGGGAAGGAAGAACTCAATCTGGGGACAGGAAACTCTGCATTTCTATTTGTGGTGGTTCCTCTGAATTGTCCTGAGACTGAAAGGTTGTCACTTCTGCCAAATACAGACCACGTGGATATCCGGTGCTCTAGACCTATCAGCACAGAAACATGGTCCCTCTGCATTGATTCCTCTTTCCCATGGCAGAATGGCTTCTTCAGAAATGATATGGACTCTCTGGCTAGTTCTGCTGAGGAGTCAGACTGTGCATGTTACACAAGCTGCAGCTACCTTTATCCTTCATCTTCAGCTCTAGATAGCATGAGTTTTGGTGCTGTTAAACACTCGATCAGGATGGCCAAACTTACAAACACTTTGAGTTGCATACGACAATCTCCAGAAGTTTGAGAGCCGGGGCACACCTGCCGGGGCTCAGGGCTTCAGCCCCGTGGGAGGCGCCTGACAGTGCTTGGGGCTTCAGCTCCGCTCCTGCTAAAGCCCCGAGACCCTCCTTCCCGCTGGGCAGAAGCCCCTACCCCACCACCCTGCTGTAAGGTAGAGGTCCCGAGCTTCCCCCACAGTCCAGTAGGTGGAGAATGCGGGGGAGGACCTGAGAGACTCCATGAGCTACACTTTAACTGTAAAAGAGCCACACGTGGCTCACAAGCCAGTTTGGCCACCCTTGCATTAGATTGTTCTCCTTTTACCTCTATCGAAAATTTTGCTCTGATTCACTTACACACTGATTCTGAAGCACAGAATATCAGAAATCTATTAGTAACCGGTAAGTAGAGAGGAGCTTTTATATAAATGGTCTCTGATGGGCTAGTTTGTTTTATTTTAACTTATGTCAGCAACTAATGGTCATTCATCCAGTTTGGTGCTTTTGTGATGCCAGTTTAATTTGATATTCAAACCAAATGTTATGGTTGCTGAGAAATGAATGTTCTGCAATGGCCTGAGGTACTCTCTATTGCCTTTGAAGTAATCCCATAAGGTTGTCAGAGCATTATCAGGTGTGGGCTTAAGCTACAGCTACTGGGTCTTTTAAAAGAAAAAACCGCAAGGACAAGCACACAGCTCAGTGAATGATCAATTTGCAAGTGTAATTTCTGTGTTATAAGTAAAGACAATGGATCTGAGCTTGCCTAAAATTAGCTTCTTTAAAGATTCTTTTAAGCATGTTGCCTTAGAAAGTGACTTTGTAAAATGTATCTGGAAAAACGATCTTCATGGACAATTTTAATTTAGTTATAAATAATAGAAATCTGTCCATTTAATAGTGAAATTCACCCAGGTTCAGAGGGTTTGCACTACAGGGTCCTGCATTGCTCCTCAAGGGGAGAGCACCACCGCAGCATCCATGAAAGGGACTCTCTGCCCCTGGTGCATCTACTAGGCTGGCATGAAGGGGGCTATAGGAGGAGAGCAAACCTGGAGAGAAGCTACTAGAGCTGCACTTAGATAGATCCAGTGACTTGTACAGAGGGTATGGAGGAGCTTAGTTCACTGATCCAGACTTGATGGGGGGATGAGGGGTTGGATGAGGGGGATGCATTTCATCTACCCTATAAGCCCCCATTTAGGCCCCAATTTAGCAAAACATAAGAATGTGCTTAACTTTAAAGGGATGCACTTTAGTACAGTTAACTTCAGTGGAATGTAAGCATGTGCTTATGTGCTTTGGTGTATAAAAGCTAGTTTCCTACACAAAGTGTGGTGGGGTTGTGGACTTCACAAGTTAATGTTCCATGTGACGAGCAGTGAAATAATTCCATAACATGAAAAATTTGGAAGCAAATAAAATGATAAGCACTGTGTTGTTAAAAAATACTTTACAGACCCTGTGCGTGCATACTTTACGATACTTTTTTAATTTATAATTTAAATTACCAGTTTTCAGTTCTATTTGACAGAAGATAAACTGCTTGGTGTCCTGTCTCTTTAAAGCACAAGGAAATTACTAGAACTCTGCTGAAATGTTATTTTCTTTCTATAAATGTAGACCACATTGCCTAGATATTAATGGGCTGCATTTATTAAAAGTATTATTTTAAAATTTAAAATGTTAAAAGTTTGTATTTACCTTGACCAAATTCCATAATCTCTCCATATCTGTCTTCCCCACCTTTGTAAAATGATTTGCGATCCTCTTAGGAAAGGTGCTATGTTAAATACAAGGTATTTCATTAACTTCCTCTACCAGGATCAGGTATTAACAGAAAACAGAATATAGAGAACTTCTGCTGGAGGGAAAAAGATAATCCTAAAGAGGAAATACATAGCAAAATGATCTATGGCTGTGTAAAACTGCGCCTTCTAACTCAACAGATCCACTCCCTGTCTTCCGCAAAGTCCCAAGTACCTTTACAATTCCAAAAAATTATTTAAAAACACATCAAAAACTGTTTCTAATTCCAATTGTTTTTTTAAATACTAAACCAGTTCAGCTTTCTGAATTTCAGTAGGAAGCACCCATAGCTTGCTTGCTTGGTGGATAGCTACTCATTCCTCTTACCTCAAATTTACAATTCCAAAGGCTAAATAGGAATATGGTAAATTTGTGTAAAAGTAATTGTCTGTAAAAATGTGTTTCTCTGTCTAGTATAAATCTTTCTGCTATCTCTGATATCAGCCAGGAAGAAAAACTCTTTACCCTCACCCATCTTCGCCTAAACTTGGATAGCGGGAGCTGATCTGAGATATTTACTTACACAGATGACATTGTGAGTTTCTAACAGATTTGGTGGCACTGAATCATGGGTCAGATACATCCCTAATGTAACTTCATTGACTTCGATCAGGAATAAATTTGCTCTGTGTTATTAATTCTAAGAATTTGAAAGCCAAGATAAAGCACTTTCTTTGTATTTTATTAATTGTGGCTTTGGCTTCTCCTCTGTATACTGTATATCAAAAATATCTTTTTTCTCTCCTCCTGCTCTTGAGAGATGCTGTTTCTCCACTATTGATCCAACTAGTTTCTGCAATCAAGCAGTAAAAAAACCCAAATACTTACTCTTTTACATTCTCTTTATGCACTTCCATTTACAGTGATCAGTGGGGGTCCCCTTGAAGGTCCCTATAGGCTAAAGCAGTTTCATTTTCATTGGGGAATGAAGCACAGCCAGGGATCAGAGCATACAGTTGACAGCAAATCTTTTCCTTCTGAGGTAAGAACTTTTTCAGAACCACTTTACTACAACCAGGATGCAAACCTGAAACAAAATTTGGAACAGTTTGCACCCAGATCTGAATTTTGCAGCTTGGCCCATCCATCCATTTAACTAAGCAATATACTGCTATCTATATTCATTAATTGAAATGCTGTCTACATGCAGTTTCTAGTTGGCCATTTCTCTCTATCCACAATGGGGTCCAGAAGCAACAGCTCCGCACCACACACTTTAAATTAGTAACCAGTATCTCTTGCTTATATTTGCCTATGCTCTAGCTGTCTATTACTGTGTTCATACAGTATGTAGCATGAGGGGGCCCCGTTCTTGGTTGGCCCTTTGGCACTACCCTAATAAACATGATTTTGGGGGTGGGGCCATAGCTCTGACAGCCAATAGTAGTTTGCAGATAAGGAAGAAGGGACGTAGTTTTAGCTGACCCTGGGAATGTTTTTTTTTTGCGGGGAGGGGGGGAGATTCATTGTCTAATCCACTCAAAGGACTGCTGTTTTGGAACTTGGTAAATTCCTAGTTGAGTTGGTTTTTCTCAGAATTTCTGGAAAATCTGCCCTTCAAGCAAAGCTTTATTATGTGATAAATTGACTGATAAAGCAACTGATGTTATTGCTTACTAAGTGTAATACAGCCTGTGTGAGGGCCTTTCTCATTTAGCTTGTTCATATGTCTGTTTTATGATTCCCCTTCACAGCTCCACTTGGTTCATTGGAATGCCAGGAAATATGCAACATTTGGAGAAGCAGCAGCAGCTCCAGATGGCTTGGCGGTAGTTGGTATTTTCTTGGAGGTAAGAGTCATGAAAATAATGGTGTTTGTTTTATGTGTAGAGAAGCATCAAACTGTCAACTGTTTAAGAACTAAAGACACACAGTTGAGAAGAACTGTTTGGGGAAAATAAATGACTTTACTGGAAGCAGTGACTCAAGGCAGGTTGCAATTAAACCTGCTTCAGTGGGAACATTCCTAAGACAGAAAATGGCCTGTTATATATTCAAAGCATAATTATTAACTATATCATATCTATATTCTCATGCACCTGTATCCATTACACTTTTAGACTGGAGAAGAACATGTCAATATGAACAGACTAACTGATACCTTGTACATGGTAAAATTTAAAGTAAGTTTTTTGTTTGCTCTTGTATCTTTTTTTCTTCCCCTCACTTGGATGACTTTTAAACAGTTTTAACTAGTGCATGAGCTTGAGTGAAATAACAACAAATTAAAGCAGCAAATTCCATCCCCTCCCCGTGAAATTCACCCATAATTAGTACGTAACATAATACAAGGGCAGGTAAATGTGATAGTTTAAACACACTTCATTCTAATGTATTGTCTCTCACCACTCATGGTTGCCTTGTATGCTAGAATTGTATGCTCTAATTCACAAAACTTCAATATAATTCCCTTATGCTAACAGGAGTTCAGAATGAATGAACATGTTGTTCGTGCCTCCGTGTTTTTTGAGTAGAGACTATTGAATTCTGATGTTGTGGATATGTGGTTGGCCATAACTCGATATGGGCATGACAATGACTTGCTTCCCTGCTTTGAAAAGGAAGTGTTGCCCCTTCAGGCATTTCTTGTAATTCCTTTTAAAAATGGCAGGACTGCCCTTCAGGAAGAGATGCCCTTGTCCTCACTCCTGCTGGGTTCTGGGGTGAGCAGAATTTTTGCAGACATGTTGGCATTTTTTGGTTGCTTGGCTGTGGAGTTTGAGTGAGCAGGTGCCCCCTCCTCCTGATCTGCTCAGTAAAAATGCATGGATCCAGGAGTCCTGTTCTAGACCACTGTAACCCTGAAGGTAGTCAGGTAACCTCTCCTGGCACTGCACTCAGAGCCCAGCTCAGCACCCCTCTGCCATATGCCTACCTGAGTTGGAAATTACACCTGCAGCTTCAGGATAGACCTAATCTTTGTTCTAGATTTGCGTGTTAGATTGTAGAGGCAATCTTTGCCTGGATTGCCTGGTTGCTCCAGACACAAAGCAGAGTTGTAAGGCACAAAAAGTGGCAAGTAATTAGCACAGGAATTCCACAATTCCATAGAAGCCAATGCTGGTGATGAAGTGTGCACAGTTAGCAGCTCGTGCTGGGCACTATACAGAGAAGAGATTTTCTGCCTAATTTCCCCATGGAGGAAGGGGCACTAATTGCAAGTGGAGCTTTTGTTTTACTAGCTCAGTGCTAACACAGGCAGCAGGGACATACACTCCCTAAGCCAGCATTTGGGTACTAGATAAGTGCTATTCTCATGATGTTGTTGTGCTTAGATGGAGCCAAATTATCATCCCATTATTCTTGCAATTTTAAGCTATCAGCTGGTGTTTTGTTTCTCAATAAATATCTATCTCCTTAAACACATTTAAAAAAAAGAAAAGAAATATAACGTATCTGTTCCTTCCAGGGGACAAAAGCTCAGTTCAGAACCTTCAACCCAAAATGCCTCCTGCCCTCAAGTCTAAATTACTGGACATATCCTGGTTCTCTAACAACACCTCCTCTATATGAGAGTGTAACGTGGATAGTGCTGAAAGAGCCTGTCAGGATTTCTGAGAAACAGGTAAATTTGCAGTCAGCTTGTCCCCAAGTTTTGATACTCTTGACTTCATTTTTGTAGGGTTCAAAATGGGATCTGTAGACAGTGATTGTTTTCTTTGTACAGTGAGACTGATTTAAGAAATGGCAAATAGCCAGAGATGTCTACTCTTGAAGTACTGAATTACAGATTTTGTGGATAAAGTAGAAAGCCAACATTTTGTTTGTTATGCCTCCACAAAGATATAATGGACCAAATTCTGCCCTCATTTACACCCATGCAGCCATGTCTTAGTTGAATGCAAGGACCTGCCTGGAATTTCTTTGCTGTTTGTCAAATTAACATTCTCTTATCTATTTCACTCTTCCTGCATTTGCCAGGAATTAAAAAATGACTTAAAAACTTAAGTTCAGATTTTCAAAGGTATTTAGGTACCTAAATATGCAGATGGGTGTCTAGTGGGCTTTTCAAATGTACCTAGGTGCCCAACTCCTGTTGATTTCAATGGGAATTAGGCACCAAGGCACTTTTGAAAATCCTATTAGATACCTATCTGCATCATTAGATACCTTTACAAATCTGGCCCATAGGCCAAATTCTGTTTTAACAAATACTGGTGTAACTCAGCATGATTTAGTCTTTAATATTTGTCTGAACAAATGTAAAAGAAATGTTCATATAACCCCTTCCCAAATAGTAACTGATATCACGAGAAGTAGATGCCACATGAGACTGCAGAGGAGATTTGAGATTGAACCTATCTGTAGACATTTTAAAGCACAGACTTATAAGATGGGATTTATTTTTTTCTGAATTTACCAGTGATGATATTTGCATACTTGGTACTATAGAGTGAATAATAAATCATTATGTATAATATAATATCTCACTCCAAGCCCAGATTTGCCACTCATTCCAAACAATCTTGTTTAATATTGTTGTTTAAATGATCTTTGGCATAGCAAGAAAAATATTTGGTATTCGCTTTTTTATGTATTTTCAAAATTGCTGTACAAGCATCACTCATTTTATAGATAGGGAAACTGAGACAGAGAGATAAAGTGACTTGCCCAAGATTACATAGGATGTCTGTGGCAGAGCCAGAAATAAAATGCAGATCTCCTGACATTCCACTCCTTTGTGTTAGCCACAAGAGCAGGCTTCCTCCCAATCCAACCATCTTGCAAGAGAGAAGTCACATCTGCACATTCATTGTGTTTCCAAACATTTTATATTTTAGGTCTCTAATTCTTTTCTTCCTAACTTTAACACCTCCATCAGAATGTAAATCTCCTGTTGATTTTATTGACTAGATTATTTTTGTTCTTTTGTGTGAATTTCTAGTGCATGTGAAAAGTGCCTGATTGTCAGCCCTGGAGACTGAGATTCTTTATCTACAAAACAGGTATAGCACAGGCATCAGCAGTGCAAGTTTCCCTCACTGGCCCGCCATGTGCTTCACCTTGGAGGGTGAGAGGACTGTTTAGTCCCCTCTTGACCCACTTAAACTTTGGCCTCTCTCCTGAGAGTGTCTCTAAAGGGTTGCCAATTGGTCTTTATTGTGGTGGTGGTTTTGTAGATACCACAAGCCTACCCCTTGCCAAACAACATAACCCATTATTAATTTGATAACCTCTACCCCCAGGTCACTTAGCACTACTGTTTTCCAGATTTCTTCCTCCCATTGTATATCTGTGCTTCAGAGAAGTTTTGATAAATATATTAGTTTGCAGATTTCCAAGCTGAATCTTCTTTCGATGTTTTCTAATATTTCTAGATCCCTGTTTATTATTTTTTCCATCTGCACCGCACTACAAACTGAGAATGTTTTCCAGGATCTTCTGCATTCCTGAACCATCCACTCACAGTACAGGGTATGATCTGGCTCAAAGAAAGGGAAACTTTAGGCTATCACAAGAATTTCCTGGCAATGAGACATATTACATTTGAAATATTCTCCCCGATAGGAAGTGATAGAAACACAGTCTCCTGGTGCATTTAAAACTAGACTGAGCAAAACACCATAGGAAATAGTCTGATAATGGTGGGGGTATTGTCTAGATGACCGAACAGGTCTCTTTCATCTCTAACTGGAACTGAAGCTTCAGAAGTGGGTACTTGCACCTTTCATATTAAAGATTCCAAATATAGAAAACAGTGAACATATTGAAGTGAGCCAATCATGCATTTCAAACAAATTACTTTTGGAGGTATCTAATATTCAGAAACCATTGGGGGCTTTCATCTGCCATTAATAGTCTTTTTAGGCTCTTAGCTTGAAAATGTACTATTATCATATTGAAAAGTATTGAATGTCTTCGTCTTACCTTTTTTCAACTACATTAACACCAATTGCCTTTGCAAGTAGTAAAGTTATTTCATATGAATTTACAGCTGGAGAAATTCCGAACTCTTCTCTTCACCAGCGAGGGAGATGAAAGGATCCAGATGGTGAATAATTTTCGCCCCCCTCAACCTCTTAAGGGAAGAAAAATTCGTGCTTCCTTCAAGGCCTAAAGAAGAAAATTAATAATAAGCTTCAAACTTCCAAGTGCTTCCATGTCCAAGTTCCACTGATCTTCAGATGATTATCTCATTGAGAAAGCAAAACAGACATTTCCACGAACACTCTGTGTTGTGGTACAGCAAAAAAGTCAATACCTCTTGGTTTTATGCTTTGAATAGGCCAGATCCCTTCTTTTAAAATAATTATAATGGGATCTTGTTCTCTAAAAGAGAGAACATTTTTAAAAATCAGGAATAATTTAGTAATCCAGGGTACTCCAGTAGAATAGTGTGGTGATATTCCAAATTATGAATGATAATTTTAAGTTTTGATCTTAATATTTTAGAATGGGAAATTGCTTATGCAATGATCTAATAATAGCGATGGGCACAACTTCTAATGATTAGAGCTATTGTTCATAATCTAATAAAGAGTGGGATAATATTAATGAGCTCTGACATTGGAAGATCAAAGGCTTAGATCTTCCTTCAGACTTCCTGTGGATTCCATTCAGTTTGACCAGCTCCTCTGGTTTAGAAGATACTTTGACTATATTCTAATTAATTGCAGTTGCCTTCTTACATGCAACCAGAGCCTGAAGCAGTAGCACATACTAAAAAAATATGTGATTTCTTCCATTCACCTCAAATGGGGTTGACTTTGAAGCCTAATTCAGACAATTTTAGTGTTAACATTTTTAAAATAATAATAATTATTAAAAATAACTCGCATAGCGTTATAAATGCACTCAGTGCTTCACAAATAACCCATCTTCCCTGCACATTATTGTACATTGTACAAACATTCACCCAAAGCCAGTAGGCCATGCATAATTATCGGGCCTTAATGTTTAATTCAGTTGAAAGGATGTTCCCTAGGAATAAGACTACATTCAGATGACTAAGACAGCTGTTACTGTCCTTAAAATAACCAGAGTAAATGCAGTGTTTACTAGTGCTTAATGTTATTCCACTTGGGTGGGATTGTGAGAGTTTGCTAGCAAACTTAACCCAGAAGCAGTGAGGGCAGTTGACTTCTGAATAAGCTAGGGCCGATTGTGATACTCCCACTCACGAAGAGTACTACGTTACCCCTCAAGCAGACCCACTGAAGTCAGTGTATCACAATATATCCAATGTAAATATTTTAACTCTTCTTTGTGTTCCCAATGACTAAAATAGGAATAAGGACAAATCCCAGAAAAAACAAACACCCCTGCCACTGCAGAATTAGTACACAGCTTTGGAATACCCCATGGACACCCACTTAAAAGTCGTACAGCTGCCTTGTGTCGTGAGTTTGTTTGATCTTACCAAACTAAGCAGGGTTAGCCCTGTCAGTATTGGGATGGGAGGATTTCTAAAGAACATCTACCTATCTGCTGCATGAAATGGTGCTGGGGATCCAGTAGGTGGTGCTGTTCTGTAGGAGTGCCAAATTGTGAAATAATGGACAAGGTACCATGCTGCTGGATGTTGTGTCTTTTAGTAAGTTAGGTGTAAAACTGACGTGGGTACACTTGTAATGATTGTTGTTATGGCATGGATGTTAACCCTTCAAATTCTACCTCAAGTCAGTGCATTCCTATGCAGCCTGGTTTCCTTCATTTCTTGCCCTAAACTTTATGATGTTGCTGTGCATAGTTAAGCAGATGCTGTGTTCCTCTTTAGGGGGCCTGATATAGTTATAACTTAACTTAACTGACTTCACTAGCATTATTCCTGACTTACACTGGTGTAGCTGATGTGTGAATCATTCCCTAGGTTTCAGGGGTAAGTTGAGCCCTCCTTGTAGTTGTGAGGCTTCAACTCTGGGTGCCTTCACCTGTTCAGAGGAAACGTGCCCCCCAGCTAGGCAAAGTATTAATATTATCAGAATTTCTGCCACTTTGGTGGCAAAATTCTCCACAGACTTCTTTTGTACCAGCTAATGAACCTGACATTGATGTTAGTTGTAACTGACATCACTACATTCCAATTAGTTATCGGAAATCCTGAGACAATACTGGGAGTGAGGAGTGCAGGGTTCTAGACATGGTGCTTCCTGTGCAGCTTGTGAATTAAACTAAAACTCTCCATCCCTCATTTTTCTTATCTGTGAAATGGGGATAGTAATACTTACCTACCTCACAGGGGTGTTGTGAGGGTTAATTCAGCAATGTTTAGAAAGTGCTTTGAGATCCTTGGCTGGAAGGTGCTACCAAAATGGAAAATCATTATGAAGTGCAATGGATTGACCATTATGAATGTGATCTGTACAGCCTGTAGTGCAGGCTGCTATTGCTGAAGGCAGGAATTCTTTAACAAATCAAATATATTTTTTTAATAAATGTGTGTGGGGTCTTGCTCAAGGTCTCTTTTGAACAAGTCTAATTCTTGTATTGCATTAGAAGAACACTCCCCTGCACCCTGCTGTAACTCACTTTTTCTAGGGCTTTCCCCCACCACCATAACTGAGAAATGCTGTGCGTTCTTTTTCTTCAGAACTATTTTGTATAAGTCTGTACCAGATTTGCCTGGGATCAAGGGAGGCTCTAAAATACTTAATGATTCAAGTTTTCCTCAGTCTCAAAGGGACCCTGAAATGTGCATAGTGAACAGCACAAATACAGATACGATTTAACTCCTCTCAGACATTTGATTTAAAAAAATCAGTTTACTTGGGCAGGCCGCTTCTCTGAAACCTGTAATCTAAGAAGCATTTCTAACATATGCCATATTTATTCCACAAAAGCATCTACCCGTCTTCTGTGGCTCAGTGGGTCCACTCTTGTTAAATGAAGTAATCTAAATTAAAGCCACCATCTTTCTGTATCTGATGTATTCAGCTCTAGTCTTGGCTAGATCTTTTCTTGCCTTGCGCCAGAGATGAACAGGAATGTCATGAGTGCTATATGTGTCTGTTTAAAAAGAATGAGATATGTTCATGGAGGTTAAGACTATCAATGGCTGGCTCTAGGCAACCCTATACCTCAGACTGTCGGAATTGTCCTGTTTTGTCTACTCCCTCCTGAAGATCTGCTGCTAGCCACTGTTGGAGACAGGATACTGGGCTTCATTGGTCTGAACCAGTATGGCAGCTCTTATTTTCTTATTTAGCTAAAATCTACCAAACAAACCCTCATTTTAAAATATAAGATGTGCATTTAAAAATAAAACATAGATTTGATAGTCCTGAGGTTAATAAAAATATTATCCTGGTCACATCTTAGGCAATAATGAAAATATTGTATTGACCACAAATAGCTTATTGCTAAAATAAAAATACCATCATGGAACATCACTTCTTTCCAATTATCAGCAATAAAGCCATTTACATGCCAGGTTACCATTTAAGATTTTCCACATATTCTCTCATTCTGCACATTTATATGATTGAAGAATTTAAGGGATCCTTTACTCCCTTTATGAATGGAGACTCTCGAGGAAGGCAATATAGTCTAATTAAACCAAGGTTGCCTGTGTTCTGTTTCTGATTCTGCCACAGGCATTCTGTGACCCAGAGCATGTCACTTAATCTATCTCTGCCTCCGTTTACTCATCTGTGAGACAGGGATAATATTTACTTCCTGAGGTTGTTGTGAGACTCGGGGCTCATCTACATGAACATTTATTTCACGGAAAGCTGGAGTGTAAATTTACCCCATGCTAGCCTACTGTGCACTAAGTGTCCATGTGGACCTGCTGCCATGCACTAAAAGTTCCATGGTGTGCTGTAATCTTTTCCCATTTCAAAGGGGGAGAGGGGGTAGATCAAAGTTCACTAGGCAGTAGGGTCCACATGGACACTTAGTGTGCAGCCAACTAATACATAGTAGATTTACAACCCAGCTTGCCAACAACTAAGTGTCCATATAGACAAGTCCTTAATATTGTTTGTAAAGAGTTTTAGGGGCCCAATCCCACAAGTTGCTCAGTGTTTCTGAGAGGTGCTTAGTACCCTCAACTATCTTTCTGTAGAGTGTCTGCACTATTCCAGATTAAGTGTGGGGTTAATTGGGAACAGTTAATCAGGAATAACCCCCTGTGTAAACAAGCCCATATTTAGGAGTTGTTTTGCTTTGAGATTAGAAATCGTGAACCATTCTTACTGTGATTAAATGTATCCTGTTGATAGGAAAGTTACCCTATGAATTTCCTATTTTCTTTTGATGGAGTCAAAATGCATAAGCATTGGAATTTCTAGTAGAAAAGCGTAAGTGTACAATATAGGTTATAGTTATAAGCTGTACACACCCTAACCCTAACCCTTTGTAATTATTTTGTATTTGTAAAGAGGCGAATGTGACATTATCCAGGGGACAATCTGGACCTTGATCAGCTGTGTCCTCTTAATTCTCTGGCCTGGGGTGCCTTTTACACTGTTTTGCTGTCAGAACATCCACTCCTGGCCTGCTCATACAGCATTCAGCAGGCAAATTTACTCCCAGCAAAATACATGAGCTCTCTGACCAGTCACTCATGAATTACATACAGGGCAACATCTGAAAATTCTTAATCCCCTCCACCACCAGAAATGTGCATCTTGTACTGCTCAGTACCCTTCTGAACAGTAGAGGCTCGTAAGAAGTCCATCATTTCATCAAAGGAAAATGATAATGCACCAGTGTTATTATCTCAAATGGAGTTTCCTATACACTCTAATCCAAACACACTGGTTAAGATAAAATAACTATAGAAAGATCGATTTTAAGTGATTACAAGTGATGATGCATAAAAGTCAGGATTAGTTACAAAAGAAATAAAAGAGTAAAATGCAAGCTAATACCTAACTTAACAAACTAAATGAACTTAAAAGCAAAAGATTTTGTCTCACAATACACTGCAATAAATTTCACAGGCTGAGTCTTCTTTCAGCCTGGGACCCTTTCCCCTTAGTTCTGTTCTTTGAGAGTTGTCAATGTCATCAGCAGAGATGACAGAGGAGGGAGGTAAATTGAAGGCCACTGTCTCTCATTCTTATACCACCATGCTCTCTTTGAGGATAACCCCCAGCTGGGGTGCAGGCGACAAATAGTCTCTTGTGAGGTCTGACCAGTCTCTGTCATGGAGTGTAAATTTCTTATTTACACCTTCTTGTTACTGGAGAATGGCTGCTTAAGCAGGTGATAGCCTTTTAACACCTGGATGGGATGTCCGTGTGTCTTTGTCTCTGAAAAATTGGTTTGGGCCTGCTTTTCTTAATCTTGGAGCATGTTATAACAATGCTTTACAGCAGAATCTTATAACTTCACTTACAATATTGATACACTTATTTTACCAGGACAATAATGTTCAGCACATGATGAGTTTTCAAATGATACCTCACAAGGCATATTTTGTAAAAGTGGTGAACAGAATAGTATTGACCATCATAATGAGTCTTTCACCTACAGAGCTTTAAGACAATTTCAAAATTTTATAAGAAATGTTACTTTTCACAATAGAGTGACAATTAAACATAAATTGTGTAAACCATAAGCACAGAGTAATTGGAAAATACATTCTAAGAAATCTTACCATTAACAGTAACTGCATTTTTCCATTTTAAAAATCATTATTAGAGAAGCATTTTTGTAGTACCCATTGTAATATAAGAGCAGAATTTTGTTTACATTGTTCGCTACTCAAACTCATAACAGGTGCAGTTGAAATGTCATGAACCTACAGCAACCATTAGCTACTGGCATCAATTGAAGAGTGAATGTTATAATGCTGATACCTTGATAGAAGGAGGTGGAATATTGAAAAAGGAATGGAACCATTCATATTAGAAGTTGAAAACATCTCTAATATGCAATCCACCTCCCGCTCCAAAAATGTAGCATATAGCTAAAGAACATATCAGAAATTAAACTCATTACTAACAAACCACAAAGCAGCAATCTAACCAGTTCTTCAGAAGATGTAACATGGAGAGCCTGATTGAGTAGATGGATTCTATTTTCACTTAGCACAGTTCTGCTAATGACTGTGCCCTTGGAAATAAGAGCACACATTCATTCAGACTGTCTAATCTTAACTGTTCCTAACATAGATGCTGATCCTCTAACCTTCAAAATGATCAAGCTGAATGGTTGATATGGTTTTGAAAAGCATATCCTAACATTCAGGTCTGGCATCTCAGAGTTGAGCCTATATTACCCCATGTGCTAAGATCAGTAGAGGGGAGCAAAACCCATGCTCTCCCTTGCCACATGATCCCACAGAAGCCCCTCCATCTCAAGTCCATGTTTCTGGAGCTCCATGGTTGAGTGAATATACTTGAGTACAGAGGGGGGAGAATGATGGTCATTCTCTGTGATATTATCTCCTCCCCAAATCTCTGGGTATTTTCCTGTGGAAAATAATACAGATCCTGCCAATGAAACATTCCATAAAGTCCTACTATGTGCATTACTTTGCATATTGGATTGTATAGATCAACAGCTAATTGGACAACTAAGTGATCATTTGTGCAATTATGACAACTGTACAAATTGTATGCCCTTTACTGCACATGCACAGGAAAAAAATCTGGGCCCCAGTGTCCAAATCAGGCATCTGGTTGGTTTCACAATTGTCTTTGTCAGCGCTATATACATTGGAAATCAGTGACTTGCTGGTATTCAGTGCCAGCCTGATGGAAGCTGAAGTATGGCATGAATTTAGGGCTTGTCAACACACAATTTTTGCACCAATTTAGTTAAATTGGTGCAAACCCTTAGTGTGGACACACTTATATTTATTTAAAAGTGCTAATGGGTTACAGCAATTTAACTATATTGGTCCAAAACTGGGTGTACACCAGGCTTCAGCCAGGAAATGTGGTATAATCGAGGGATTAAAATAACCAAGGACTGTTTTAGATAGCATATTCTGTTTGTAGAAATCCTAATGTGATACACAGTCTCAGTGACTAAGCTAAATAGTAAACAAACAAATTCCTGCATATCTATTTATCTATTGGTTTTATACTGCAGTGGTTTTCAACTTATGCTCCGTGGACCCTGGGGGTCTGCAGCCTATGTCTAAAGGGGTCTGT